AATCGCGGCTTTCCATCATATCCGTTTGCTTATTAATATTATCCTTTACGTTAACAACTTCGACCGGTACATCATCATCATCGTCGTCACCCTCAACAATCTCATCACCATCGTCATCATCATCATCATCGCCATTACCATCATCACTGCTTTCCGAAGTTTCTTCATTATGGTGGTCTGCTATTGAAAATAGCTTCGCAGCTGTTTCGAAAAAAGCTGCAATAATAATCAAATGATTGTTCGTTTGCAAAATTCTAACCATTAAATCTGAAATTCTGATGCAATTAAAACTGCTCGTCTTCACTGTAATTTGTACATAAAATTCTTGACAATTCGGCGCCGTTTTGGCTCAAAATTCCTCCCACTGTAAATAATAGATTTAATTTTTTTCAGCATCAATAATGATCTAGTCATCACACGATGTAATTTATAACTGCATTTGGTTATCAAAAAATGGGTTGAGACACAAAGTGGCTGAAGATTACACGAACTATCACTCTAAATAATGCCACCTGGGTTCATATAACCAGAAGTTTTGAAGCGTTCTATGTCTATAACTGTGTATGCATGACGTCGTTTCTTATAAATTTTCAACTTGCTTTAAAAAATAACTGAAAGTTAATCAAAAAAAAAACAAAAGCAGAAATAAAGAACAATCAAGTTCAGCATCAAAGTCGACATTCACAAGCCACTGAAAATTCGGCGCAAATGTACAGAATATTTTTAAATCCTCATCATCCGCGGCCGGATCAATCGGCACACCGCGTTTCAAACAATCACAAATCTGTAAAATGTTCTTTCCCTTCTTATTTTTTATGGCTTTATTACCAGCAAGTCCGAAATGCACCAACAGATGAAAAAGAACAACAAAACACTAAATTTCACCAGTCTTGAAATTCATACATGAAGGTAAGGAAAGATACTCATATGGTCCTGAGGAACCAGCAGTCGTAAAGTTCTAAAGAGCAACCTCACTGAGAATAAAAAATACGCAAAAACGCACTTCATTTGCGCGTCCCACAATTTCGTCACTTACGCCCATTTTGGATGCAACATCTGTTGCTAATCCACAGTCGATGTAACCATCAGTAAGCTTGTACAAGAAATTACATTTACCATTCTCCACGGTAACCACCATTGTCTAAAAACATGCATTTGTTACTATCTGTCAAAAAACATTTTTGAAGAGGACGTACAAGACTCCTAAGTTCCGAGGCCCATCTGTCATTAGCAGGCAAGACCATCCTTCTTACACAAATGCCAGCAAAACGAGCTGGCAGCAGTCTGAATTCACAATATTATAAGCAAACCACTTGCAGCATAAACCAACTAATCCTGGAGTTGTGTATTGCACTTCTGTACAAAATATTTGTTGAAAATTCATCCAGAAAAAGAATCCTTTTTTTCTAAGAAAGATTTCACTACTTCGAATTTCAGCTAACTGCAGCCGTGTTTTCAACAGAGTATGGTGTCTTTGTTTTGCAGTTATCACTTACGCAAATAAATGCGCAGTAAGCTGATAGCATTTCTGTGCATATCTGTTCTTTTGAAAGTATGATTCCACTTTAAGACTGCTAAAATCTTTGGAACAAAGACACGGTCTCAAACGTTGGACCATTAAACATATTTCCTTGTGTTGATCCATGACTCTACTTCAAGCTCAGACTAGTTTTCCAGATTCAGATCCAAAAAAGCTATAAAGGGCTGTTCTTGAAAAATTAATTCGTCAAACAAAGCCAACAGCAAAAAAAAAAACAGTCTACAAGCTCCAGTGCATCCCGATCTAATATCTGGTCTTCAACTTATAGCCACTGCCTGATTTCAAAACGAGGAGTTAAAAAACAGAAGTGATGAAAATTTTCTTCATCAAATAATCCGAAAGAAGTTGTTTACAATTGAACTTCAAACACTCAAACTTTTAATTTCACGGTCAAATGTGGATTAGCTTTTAGAAGCACCGGACCAGAAAACTCAAATTTTGGCCCTTTAGTGGACCATAAGAACCGTAAAAGTAGGGTCAAAATAAATTTCAAGGCTTCGTACCGACCTGAGTTCGCAT